GATCCACCGGCACAGACACGCCAGCACAAAATAACACAATAATTTCCCATTAAGCATTTAGTTGAAGAATCAAATCAAACGATTTTTTCTTTCAGATTTCATCACCCCCCTTTATCCCAACTCCTGTAACAACGAAGACGCTCCTGGATCCAAAACAAGAGAATCGCATCTCTGAAGTAAGTCAGAGCGGTTCCGAACGAATCGTAGACAGCGACATGAACCACGGTTCTGGTGATACGAATCCGCCAGCATTGAAACCAAGTGCTACTGAAGATGTGCCATCAAGTGACATAAAAAGTGATATAAGTGGAACTGCGGCCAAACGACCAAACACATTGGACATTAACAAAAAAACAAACGAGCAAAATGAACGGCAGCGACGGTTGCAGTTATCGGAAAAGTGTCGTGATGTGCATAAACTGTTGAATTCTCCCATTTTAGCGGACAAACCTCCCAGGTCTCCTTTGAGTGCGAAACGATTCGCCACCAAGCAGGTTCCAAGGAAAGATTCCCCGACTTTGGCCTCACCCAAAAAGGAGACTGTGTCAACCCCCACTCAAACGACTGACACCCTAGTGAATAACATCCCAATAATCAGCCCTAGCTTAAACCTATCTTTGAACGTCAACTGCCAAATGGGACTAGTTCAAAGTCCCACCAGGCCCAAATGTAGCACAAGAGTCGATCTAACCCCCACACAACCCTGGTTAAGTCCCAGTCCAGCATTATGCGATACAACGTCCCCACGTAGTTTTACCAGCGTCAATTTGACACTGAGGCCTCCAACCTCTACTCCTCAGGATCCCATCGATATCACCTCTCAAAACTCCAGCTTAACCTACTCAACCAGTAGTTTCGATAAGGAGAAAGGACTGCAGAGTCTGTTGCAAATCACGGTGGGACCTGGAAATGTTGGAAGTGTTTCATCAGTGAGAACGCGACCAAAGAGTTTTCATTTGGGAGAAAGCTCGATCGAGACTGTTCCTGCTAGGGCTGCATCCTTAAACAATTTGACTGCAACAGGCATTGAAGGTAAACCATCATTTTATTACTTTGTGCATACTGTAGGAATATTCTTGAGGCAAATAATGTGCAACGAGCTCTGATTGTTAGATTTTTTTACGTTCAATATTTTAATTATTGCAACAATCAAAGAAGGAAAATTATTCTGAATGACTCTTATTTGGAGTGACAAAATTCGTTTGAGTGTTATTTAAGCAAAAACTTAATACCTATGCCAATGCTTATCTCACAGATAAATTTATCTGCTACTAGATCGGCCTATTCTGGTTTATCGGCGAGATTGTAACCGTAAACGTTATATTTTGTTTATTGGTTGATCCTAATTATGGAGTTTTACATTGAATATTTCGAGGATATTTCGATCGAAAAAAATGTTAACTTATTTGTTAATTTAATTAATTGGAAGCCGTATAATACAAGAAATGGAACAAAACGACTTGTGGACCATTTTCACAGTCAGGACGATGCAGAATTTTAAAAAAATGTTTAATTTTTGTTCAGTCTTTCATATTTTATCTTTAAGATCTTTTCGTTCCTATTTGTGTTACATTAAGCAAGAAGATTTACTAGTAAATTATATGGTCACTTATGCCGCCTATTGTTATAAAATCAGACGTAGTATCGTTTCTGCTAGGATCAGCATAATTTAACTATAACAGTAGCCACAGCAGAAACGAGAATTCAGTCATTAGATGTTTGGTCAGAAGTCATAATAATTCAGTTAAAGTTAAACATAGTCCAAAGTCAGTCTACGGTTAGGTTCGGTCACATACATTTAAAATCCATATTATAAAATTGTATTAATTTTGAAATAAAAGTGTTTTTAAAGACGCTAGTTTCAAATTAATCAATAAAATTGTAGTTGAACCTCATTATCATCAAAATTTCTGCCTCGTTTCCTAGTTTTACTTGTCATTTTTTAAGCATAGATCAGAACTCCAAACACAACAAATCAAATAAAAATGTAATGGAAAATGCCAAGAGCCATTTTGTTATCTCACAGATAATTATGATGGAACAACAGAAATTTTTATCTGGAACCTGATAAGCTAATTTGATTGGCAATTACCAAGTTCATCAGACAGTCAATAAACCGGCTTTTAGCAAATTTTTTTTTGTCGGAAAGTTTACAGTTTTTTGGTAGGTATAACGTGTTGGAAAAATACAAGTCGTTGGCGGTTATTCAAAATCCTCCTGGAAAAGTATATTCCAAAGACAATGAAAGTGCAAATAAATAATTCAAAAAGAGTTTTGTTTTTTTCTTCGAAAAGTAAATATTTTCGAACTTTGTGTTCTAGAAGTGGCGCACGAACCTACATGACATTCAATATTTTTGAGCAAAAAAATGGTGATCCACTGATTTATGAAAAAACAACTTTTACTTCTTCATTGCTTGTACAAGTTCAACAAAAACGGTTTTTTGAGTTTTTTGAGTTTTCTTCGTACAACGCACCAATTTCGAGTCACAAATAAAAATCGTATTACTTAGCCACGTCTTCCAATCCTCATATCAACAGTATTATTAGTAAAAGAACTATGGATTTTTACACCAAAATTAAGTTAATATTTTGCGCCCGATTTTTGAAAGCCCAAGAGTTTTCCGATAAACTTGACTAAATTGAATCAGTGATTAATCAGAAGTAGTGAATCAGAATTGATCAGTTGAAAAGTTTTCCCGGCTTATAAAAAGTGCAATACGTTCCATTGAAACTCACTCCCATTCGGGAATTTCCCGTGTAATAACTTTTTGGCAATTTTTAACGTTACTTAAATGCTCTTAGTTCAAATTGTGTCTGATAAATAGTCCATTAAAACAATTTTTTATATGCATAACTTTTTTATGATTGAATTAGTGCCGTTTACATTAATTGTTGCTTGTCTGCACTACAGTAAGCAACTAAAAGACCAATTTGCGATTTTAAGCGGACATAAAATGTTGAGAATGAACCAGAAGCTGTAGCTACATATTTTGTAGTTGTTTTTTAACAGTTTGTGTAACAAAACTACTTAAGACGTTTTAGAGCTCAGTAGGTGCAGGTACAGAAATTTGCTGAGCATTTCAGTATGAGTAAGTAATATTTCGGTTAAATTGGCTCGCGATTCCTTAAACTTTGTACTAACTAATTATTAGCAAATGTTAATCGAAGTTTATATTGAAGGAAAAGCACCTGAGTAAGCTTGATAATCTATGTTTAGCTACATCCAAACATTCTTCCGGGATTACGAGTTCAATTAATGTGCTACTAACAACTAACGGTGCATATTTTCAAATATGTTGATTTTATGAGTATATTTGCCGACAACTGGGGCAATAAAATTTTTCAATGTTCCAAAATTTGCTGCAAATTCTGTAAAATTAATATAGAACTAAAATCAGTACCTTTATGGCAGCTTTTATTGAGGAAATAAAATTTGAAATCACAAATAAGTTGACATACTTAAGCACTTACGTATACGTAATACGTACTTAATTACTAAACCATAGTAAGTAAACTAAGTATTTAAAGCGCAGAAGTAAAAATATTGGATTTAATTGCGTAATGAGCAAAGTAAACGTAATGAAAAGCAGTGGAAGATGTGAATGTGTGTTAATTGAAAATTAGTGTTAAAGCATTACGATATAGTAGGTATTTACAAAATGCAAAATTCAAAGTTCCAAATAAATGTATCTCGGTTTTGATGTTGTGTTACTGAAACCTAATAATAGACGAGAAAAATGCAGAAAACTGTCAGAAACGAAAAATGTAAAATATTCCTGAAGAGTCAGATTCTAATTGAAACAAAATCAGTATTACCAGTATTCAATCTAAGAAACAGCTTGTTAACGGTCTTCCTTCACTTTAAAAAATAAAATATTCGGATGCATCTATTTTACAACCATTTTCATCAGGGCAAGGATTACATTTTGTGAAATTGCCTCAACGAAAATAAACTTTCACTTGCACGTGGAATGTTTAGTCTACAATGCACTTTAGTGGTATGCAAATTTGATCGGAAGAGTCCAACAAAGTTCAAAATGAATTTTATTGGTAAGAATAAAAATATCGAATCGGAGCAAAACATCCAAGATTTAAGTAAAATAAATCCTAAAAATCGTAAAAATATTTTTCGTGCTGCCCCCATTTTTCCTTTTTGCTCTGAGGCTGATGCAACCTAGAAACAAAAATTCAAACAAGCAATAATAACGGCAAGAGCACTGTTTTTATTTATAGGTAATATTACATCTGTTATAAAGCCTACAAGTTCAATGTGCTGTTAATGTTGATAAATATCAGAAGACATTTATTTATTTGGAGAAGTTTATCTCGTTTTTCTCACGACCTGTTGATGAGTCAAGTTTCCATTTCAATTCCATTCTAGTATACAAACACCAATAATTAGGTAACTATTAGCATTCAGGTAGTTGTTTAAACTGTTCCACAAGGTTAACAACTGTTCCAACTTTCTGACTCACTAGTTAATTATATTCAATTTCGCTAATTCTGCATACTGATGAGTGGAAGTAACGGACAGTCTTCAGGTTCGTTGCACATGTTCAAGGTATAGACGACAAAGGCACGGAAGAGAATACACAGTAAATCACTTCAATCTACATGGAATATTAATAAAAATGGTAGTTTTTGGTACAGGTTTTCTTCGGTTAAAAAGTTAGTTTCAGTTTGAAAGAGCTTAAAATTGCAATTATTTTGCTTTGGGAATTTCATTTAGGGTGTTTCAGAAACATACTTTGGATGTTTGTCTCAATAACGTTTGTATACAAAATTAACTGCCAGAAACGAAAACGTCTTTTGAAAACTTAAGATCGCCAAATATTAATTAGTGTGAAAAGTACATGCCAGATTCTCTAACACTTCGTAACGGCATTATCCAAATATTAGATTTTTTCCTTTTTTTAATACATTTTTAATTTGCTTTGACTGTTTTGGCTGAAGAGCGTTTTGCGTACAAAATTAACTGCAAGATACGAAAACGGTTCTGTATCAAACCAGCATTTAAATTGGTAGTTAAAAACTTTCAGTAACGTACGAAACTGTAGAAAATGATAACAGAAAAAACATAAACTTCATGAAAATCCAACATATGCATCTTAAATCTCACTAAATCTCTAGCAGACGTGTAATAACTGGAAATTTCTACTGTAATAAAGTTGTTTTGGAACACCCTATAGAAAGTTTCAGAATTGCTCGAATTTTTTGAGCGAAAGCGTATGGAAATAAGAAGGAACGGCAAAATGTAGAGACATTATTTCATCGAGGATCACATTTACATATGCGTGGTGGGTTATTTTGGAAAAAAATTGTTTCCGCGTGGCCTAATATAGCGAAAGTTCATAAGAATGGAATTCCATATCATTGCGTAGTTCGAATTGAACACCTCGCAAGATTTATAGAAGAAACTCGCCCATTTAAAATTCTGAAACTGCCGTTTTTTCCACAGCTTTTTGTACAATTTATAACAATATTCTCCAGAAAAAATCTTCTAAACTTAAAAAAATTTGATTTTCGGGAAAACTGGAAATTTTCTGATGAAAAACTCATTGATATTGAATGTCGAAAAAAATAACTAATACGGTCAACTTTATTGTTTTAAATGAAAGCACTTATTTTATATTTCTGTTTATTTCCGCTTAGAATTCTAACTGCACATTGTTCATGCACCATGTCGGTCTTGTCGGTCACCTCTAAACCTCTAAACCATGTCGGTCACCTCTAAACGTACAAGTTCAGACATTTAATATTAAACAGATTATATACTGATACCAATGATTTCTTCATTGTCTAAATTTCATTATTTACAAATTTATTGAATCTATAAATACAGAGCATCAAATAATAGAAAATGTTGATAATATATTCTCTCGATCGATGATTATTTATTTGTAAATCGATACAAAAAACATTAACTGATTGATTTTGTCTCAAATGTGTTATTCTTCATGTCCCAATAGTTGACTAGTCAATCATTTTACCACATGCAAACTGCACTTTTATTAGGCAACTTTAAAAAAT